TCTTTGCCAATCGGAGAGCCTTTCTATTTCTTTGAGACCCTCTTTCTCAAACCCCTCTCTCTCTCTCTCTCTCTGAAACCATCTTTGTTAATCGAAGATCTTCTCTCTCTCTCAAACCCCCATCTGTCAATCAGACCCCTCTCTCCCTAAAACCTTTTGCTCTGAAACCATCTTTGTCAATCGAAGAGCCATTCTCTCTCTCTGAACCCTTCTCTCTCTAAAACATCCCTCTCTCAATCAGAGACCCCCTCTCTCCCTGAAACCTCTCTAAAACCATCCTCAATCAGAGACCCCTCGCTCCCTGAAACCTCTCTCTAAAACCATCTTTCTTTATCGAATAGATACCATCCTCAATCAGAGACCCCCTCTCTCCCTGAAACTTCTCTCTGAAACCATCTTTCTTAATCAGAGAGGCCATGGTTTTGGGGTTTTGAAGAGCATACTGACTAAGGTGGGCCTCTGCTTTTTGAAGAACCGAAAAAAAATTCTCTTGTAGGTCATCTGTGTATTCTCTCTCAAACCCCTTCTCTATCTCTCTGAAACCCTCTCTCTCAAACTCCCCCTCTCTCAATTAGAGACCCCCTCTCTTCCTGAAACCTCTCTCTCTGAAACCAATTTTGCTAATCGAAGAGCCCTTCTCTATCTCTCTCAAACCCCTTCTCTACCTGAAACCTCTCTCTGAAACCATCTTTGCTAATCGGAGAGACCTTCTCTATCTCTCTAAAACCCTCTCTCTCAATCAGAGGCCCCTCTCTCCCTAACACCTCTCGATCTGAAACCATCTTTGCTAATCGAAGAGGCCATGGCTGTGAGGTTTTGAAGAGCAGACTGATGGCTTCTAGTTTTTTCTTGAAACTTACTGATTTTGGAAGTGAATTTTTTTCGGGTATCGAAGAACTGAAGTTTTAAAATGTTCGGTTCTTTCGATGTTTCAAAAACTGAAATTAGCATGATTTTGATTTTTGAAAAATAAAAAATAGGTAGTTTCATCTTTTTTTAAAAAAATTGTTATGAAGTCCAAAGAACGGAAATATCAGTAATAACGGAAAGTATTCGGTATTGTGGTAATAACAAAAATTAAAACGGATATTTAAGTAAGTTTCCCTTTTTTTTAAGAAAAAGGTTCAAAGATTCAGATCATATGTACTATCTTGGTAAATCATCACACAACCTATCATACATGGAATAACGAAAATTAGAGGAAATATTGCCAAATTTTTTATTTAAGGCAAAACACAATAAAGCCTCACTTCAAATCCTCATCTAGAAAGCGCTTTGGACATTGAAAATCACCATGATGAATTAAATATCAAACTCCGATGCCGACTATTAAATTTGAAGCTTAAAAAGTGGTACAGATCTTGCAGATCCATGAACACTTATTTTTAAGACAAAATGGATGATCTAGATAATTTGTTACAATATATACTATTTTGAGAACTTGGAATCTGAATTTTTTCTCACAACAATAATTCAAGGCTGAGTTGATCGATTTGAAGGTTTTCCAATTCCAAAATTGCAACTTTCAATGAGTATTGCAACTTTCAATGAGTTTTGAGGAGAGGCGTTACTTATTTTGATAGGGTTGCAACCCTATCAAACCATTTTCCTTTTTTCATTCCGAGAAAGAATCAGCCCAATGAACCACTTCTGATTGGCGATTCCCATTCCACATCAAAAATAAGAGAATGAAAAGATTAAAGATCACAATTAAAAAAGAAGAAAAAAGAAAGGGCTTAAATGAAAATCACATGTAAAAAAAGAAAAGGTAAAAAATTAAATTTGTAACGGCCACATGTAAGAGTTTAAGTTTGCATATAATGGGATTATACGTGTCCCTTATTAGAAGAGCAACGATCCTATAGGACCCTCTCCCACCCATGTGTATAAGACCCCAAAGGATCACCATTAAATTTGATACGGATCTATAAAAAACTCAAGTCCGACACCCATTTGATAACTTTTTTAAAAATCCGTACCAACTTTAATGGTGATCATTTGAAGTCCTACTACACATATGGATAGGGGAAAGGCATATAGGATCATTACTCTTATTAGAAATCGAAAATTTTAAATGACATTATCATTATAAACAGTAGCTGACATTAGATTTTTCATTCATGCAAAACATCAGTTTGTCCTTGAGCGAGGCTTTAAATAAGATTTCATTGAATAAAATAAGTATTCGTCGAATTGAAAATTTTTTCTTCGAAGAAGTATAGGTCTTACCAAATCTTCCTAATATTTTATTTTACTTTTAAGTATGAATTTCAAATGTCTTACCAAACCTTCCTTTTCAAGGGGATGTGGCTAAACTTCGTCGTTGATGGAATCAAGAGAGTCAAAATAATCAAATCTCATGCATTTGTTGCTAAGCATGCAGTGTTACTGATATCATCCATCGCAGATAGCTCCCTTGAGATTGAGATTTTAACCCTGTCCTCCAATGGAACATGATCTACCTCATCTCTATCAGAAGCACCATTATTTTTGCCATTCATGTTCACTACTTGCATATTGGCGCTCGAAGAGCCATTATTTTCCCCCTTCATTTTATCCACTGCTTGCACATTCGCCGCCTGACTCTTTGAAGGACTAGTTTGACTGTATTCAATGTTCTCAGCCTTGATGTTCAGGGACTGTTGACTCTTTGAGCATATTGTCATGCTTGGGAAAGAACGGTTTGGCAGTTGATTACTTGCCATAACATCCATTTCTTTCTCTTTGGAAGAAGTCGAGGAAGCTTCAGGTAGATGTGGCTGAGGTGCCTCTTTAAAACAATATGCTCTAGCTATTTCATTGTCAATATCACTAAAGCTACCAGTGTTTGGAATGCAGGCATCAACAGTCCCTGAACATCCTGTAATTACATCTCTTGGAAGACTACAATTTGGACCTCCATGGCAATCATCAATAATTCCCACAGCAACCGTGCCACTCTGACTTCCTTTTGATAATCGAGAACCTAAATGCTACTTTCTCTTAACAGGGCCTTTCTTACGAAATTTGGAAGTGCGAGCATAAGCAGATGATGCCTGCAAATAACACAACTTTCATCACTTGAAAATATACAGCAGATCAACTATTAGAAATTTATCCAATTAATGTTGAACACAAAAACAGTTCATTCTTACAGAGTGCTCAAACTTATGAATACCTGAAGTGCAAGAACCGCATTCAATTGCCTAACGGGTTTTTTACTAGCTTTCACGGAAGCACCATTATCGTTTAGAGATTCTTGGGCAAAGACATCTGATTCCATCTAAAAATAGCATTGGATCTATAAAGTAAGAACATATATTCTTTTTTGTTGTATAAAGTAAGGAAATATATACATGCAAAGCAAGAAAATAATAGGTCAGCCACTTCAAGAACAAACCTCAGGAAAAATAGAGTTCATCTGCACTGATTTCTTCGTAGTCTGACTTCTATTGGCAACAAGATCAGACTCATGAAAAGCATCCTGCAAGTTCCCATGAAATAAATAATGCCACAATCCATTCTGAAGCTAAAGAAAATGATGCACCTACAAGTTTTTATTGCTCAAGAAAAATGATAATATGTAGATCAGATATTGGTGGCACTAGCCTTGGAACTAGGATAGGGACACAGTCCAATAGCAATGGAGTTAGAGACACAAGGATATTGAGCATAACAAAATAATAGGTAAGCCACTTCAAGAACCTACCTTAGAAAAACTCAAAGTTCATCCGCAATGATTTCTTCTATTGAAAATATATTCAGACTTATGTAAAATATCCTGCTATTTCCCATGTTAAAAATCATTTTCGTGTCCATTTCAAAGCTAAAAGGAAATATGCATTTATCAAAGTGAAAAATAGGCCCAAGACAAATTTTGGTTGCTCAAAAATAAAATGACAATATGTCATTATGGAGATCAGATGTTGGTTAGAGAAGCCGCACAACTAGGATAGGGCATCAATAAAATTGGAGTTGCAGCATATTTATGGGCATTCATAAAGGCAGCAGAAGAAAATGATATGTCAGCTACTTCAGAACAGACCTTAGGAAAAGTAGAGTTCATCTGCCTTGTTTTCTTCCCAACACAAAACTGACTTTTATTAGCAACAGATCCAGACTCATGTAAAAAATCCTGTGACTTCCAATGACAAAAATAAAATCATTATCTATTCTAAAGCAAAGGACAATTAAGCATTTATCTAAAGCAACAAAAATCAAGTATAAAGAGATCCAAGGAAAATTTTGGTTGCTTAGGAAAAAATGACACTAAACTATGTTGGTTGCACAAGCCACAACGTCGATGGGACAACCACTCCAACAGTTATGACTACTGAACTTCTCATAGGACAAGTTACCATCATATCCCCTTCTCCTCAAATAGAAATTACATTTAGTGCATAAACACAATTCCTAAGTATCTAGAGTTGAAGAAAGCATGCCATTCATCAAAACAAAATTGCAATAGCTATCGCAATAAAGTCTTATAGAAAAAGTGTCCATTTAACTACTTTTTCACCTGCTTCCATACACATCACATCAGCATATCCGGTAACTAAGTCCAATTCTATTTCAGGGTGTTCCTAAAACTAGAATGAGAAGTTTGCCAGAACCCATTGCAAGTTACAAAAGTGGTTCATACACATCAATTGAGGATAATCCAATGCCAAAAATACCAAAATTGACACTTATTTTGATGTTACGTGTAATCCTAGATGAAACCCCTTATTTTGGAAAAAAAATGCCTCCACTATTTAATAGATACAGTTTTCTTGGTGAAGGTGTGCCCACATTCATTTGTTATGGGCATGATAAAAAGTTATATAAAGGTAACAGACATTTGTAGTGATGTTATCTCAGCATGGGTTACAACAGAATTTTTGACAACTTGCAGGGGTAAAGTACAGCCAATATTAATGTGATATATCACCTAGTGAATGTCCTTTCCCTTAGCATAAACTAGTAGTCAATGGCCATGCAATGCATGGGAGATACTTTTAGTATATCATGTCTTCCAAACAATTGATCTATCTATTTAAAAAAATCTATATTAATAAAGACACACGAGCACAGAAAAAGATCTAATCTCCTTAGGGTGGGACTGCCACAGTGTCCCCTTAACTTAGAAGTCAAGAACCATGCAAGAGGGGTCCTATGGATCCAAACCTACCCATCCTAGACACTAATCTCAAAATCAAAAGCTTGCATCTTAAAAGTGACAAAAAAGCCCCACCAAAACAGTTAACAAAATCATCCATTTTTGGACAGTCAGATCTAGGTCTCAAAGAACCCTAGAACTTTTTCTTTATATTGCTCATCATGATTACGCCATCCACACAAGGGTCAAATAACTTTCCCAGAGGCCTAGATCTAGCCATTCATTAAGCTGTAGAGCTGGCAGTTCACTGTATTCTCTCTCCCCCCTATAAAACTGCTTTCTAGGTTTTATTTTCAACATCTTTTCTTGAGTTTGTTTACGGGATTCATGAAAGCGCGTATGCAAAATCAAAGGTGAAGCAAAGGGCTCTAACATGGATATTTTTTGAGCTAGGCCGGTGATTGTAGTAGTC